AACTCTCCTATAAACTGAAAGACAAAAAGGATAAGTACAAAAAATGGAAAGAGGGACACATAACTAAGGCAGAATACCACCATATAGCCTGAATCTGCAAAGATGAAGTTAGGAAAGCTAAAGTTCATAATGAACTAAGATTTGCAACAAATGTCAATGGCCTCTTTTCTTCTAGCCCCACATCTATCCTTTCTGTTTCAGCTAACTGATTCACAAAAGCTGTGAGACTTTCCTCCCTTTACTGTTATTTGTAAGATAATTTTTAAGTAATATATAGGGGAAAGAACTGTGCTACAAATTCCTTGTGTGTCCAATCATACTTGGCCAATAAAAAATATTCTATTCTAATAAAATATGCCATGTTTAAATGAGTTATTCCATGCACTTTGCCCTTTTTTTAACATTCTAAGCAAGAAACTTGATTTACTGAGTCTATAAAATTAGAAAGAGGCCTTTTCCCATTCATTCCAATAAACTTAATTCCCTTTGCATAAAGTTGTGCAAGGAATGCAGAAGATGCTATTAGATAAGCGTTGATTTTAGCTGCTTACAACTGCCAAACTGATGGGAATTTGGTCATTTGTTTCAGCCCTCAGAAGATAAATGTTTTGTTTTATCTGGATCCATATTCTCACAATATTTCATCCCTTGAATCTGAAGTGGAGAGAGAATACCGAGAGACACAAAACACAGCCACCCAAGGCAGCTACACAAAGCCCTGGCCAGAGTGGCTGCCGCAAACCACAGCTCTTCCCAGCCCAGGGCTGCGGAGGAAGGCTTTGCCAAGACTCCCCAACCCAGAAGTCCTCTAGGGAAGTTGAGGCCATGAATGAATCAGCTGCAAAGCCCAACAGCAAACAAACTGCTTTGAAAGAAAAATGGTATCCTAGCAACCAGATTTCTCATTTAATCCTTCCTTCAAGATGCAATTCCTTCAGGATCAACTGATCGTGCCTTTTCTTCTAGGAGCAAAAACTAGCCAGAAGGGCCTCTCTCTTGTTTCCTTTGCCCTCCTTTGTCCTTATTGGTAAGATTGATCCTCCTAGGGCACAGCTAGACAGCAACACGGAGTCCAGCCCACCAGCCCCATTCCTTAGCCTGCTTAGAGGAAAAACTTCCTTCCTTCCCTTCCCTTCCTTTCCTTCCTTCCTTCCTTCCCTTCCCTTCCTTCCTTCCCTTCTTTCCTTCCCTTTTTCCCTATCCCCAAGGACAGAATGCTCAGAAATGTAGGCTTTTCCATCAGCATTCTTTGCATTTTAATTTTTTAAATATACTTGTTCTTTGGGATCGCAAATATTTATCTCTACTCCTAATAGCTTTATTCTACCCAAGAGGTAGAATCAAGGGTGTCTTCTACTAATCCTGCATATTTTGACCTCTTCTCTTGAAGCCATCAATCAATCATTCAATCAACAAAAAGGAATAGAAGAAATGTACATAAATTGCAGAATTGTAAGATAATTCCAAAAATATTCAACATAGGGATAGAATTGGAATTCAGACAACTGAGAAACTGAATGGTGCTGAATTTGAAGTGTGGCTCCTCAAAAGGAAATATTTTTGAGCATCTGGTGAACACATCCATTTAAAGAATGAGAGAAATGCTCTGTGAAGAGAGGCTGAAAGAAAACTGTCTCTAGAAGATGCATCAGTTTGACATTTAAGAGGGGATTCTGTCTGAAGCAATTTTAATGCTAAACAACTTCCCAGAATATTCTGAAACTTTTGAGAACACTAAAAATGAGGTGTGATGCAAATCTGCAATTTCTGAGAAATCCGTTAGATGATTTTAATATCTGCCAATATGCTCAGAAACTGTCAGGAGGGAGGGAGGGAGAAACAGCCTTGGAGTCCACATGGAGAGAGGAAGATGACCCCTGCAGCAGATGCACTCAAGTGCACAGACAGAAAGAGATGAGAAGCAGATCAGGCACATTCCAGATGAAATAACTCACCAAGAGACAACAAAGCTGAGGCAGAAGATATTTTTGGAACTATATTGACTCTGAAAAGCATTATGAAGGGATCCATTCGGAGTTTGGTACAACCATTAGCTTAATCAAAGAAAGAGACAGATTTGCTAAATTGGACATGGATTGTAACTCCCACTGCCTTTATTAGCAGATGGAATGGAGGACAAAGACTTTCCTGAAGGCAAAGGAAGTCAAGACTCCATTGGGGATGGAGAAAAAGAACAATTAAAGCAATGTTTTGTTTGGATGCCTGTTTTATGTCAGTGAAAGAAAAGTTAAAGGAGAGCATTGTTCTACCACAGATGGAAATAGCTTGCATAGGAAAAAAACTCAAAAGTGGCCTATTTTACATAATCTTGGAAGTCTTCTAGTCCAAGGCAGGATTTCCAAGGCATCCCAAATGACTGTCCAGTCTTTGCTTGAAGGCCCCCCCCCCATGCTGTCATAGAGTGCAAGGTCAGGAAATTGCTTCTTATGATGAATTTCAATCCCTAAAGCTTTTGTTCTTGACCTGCCCTCTCAGGCACCATGGAGGATAAATCCCCACCTTCTTCTTTGTGATAGCGCTGGCCAAAACACGATCATGCCTGCCCTGAGCTTCTGTCATGTCCCTAAACAAACGTATGTCTATAACGTAAGAGAAATATAGGTAAATGTGTGGAGCCGTCAGTAGAAATGAATGCAGCCCTAGACTAGACTCTGTCTCTTGTCCAGTGACTCTCACCAGATTCTCCCTTCGACTTCTCTCTTGAGTTGCCTTGAAAAGATGGCGTGCAAATGCATTTTCCCCCTTCCCATCTCCCTTGTCAGCTTCTACTGGAAACAAGTGAAAGAATTATTGTAAAGGGATTCCTGAAATAGGTGTGAAGTTGTGCTGTTTGCATATGCAGTAAGACTCTTTTGGTTTCTTTGGACCCCCTCCTTCCCCACTGAGATTGGCAGCTGTTGGACTTCTGTGCTGTGCTTGGTCCTTCCAGTCAGCCCTCAGCCACATGGACAAGGACATCACGTCCTCAGGTGGCTTGAGCACATAACCCTCTTTTCGCCCTGCAGCATTTCAAGCATGAGCAGAGGGAAAGGCATCATTGCAGGTGTGTGGTGTGTGTGTGTGTGTGCTGCATCCTGTCTTTTAGCTAAGATCACACACATACACACACATGCAGGTAATGGCAGAGGAGGGCCTCCATTTTCTATGGGGCCCAGATTGGTAGCAGCTCAAGGACTTTGGGAAGTCTCTTCAGATTCTTCTTCTGGTCCAGGGTCTCCAAGAAGTATCTGAACACAACTCAGCCCTCAGGGAAGATATTCAGTGAGGTCCGGCCACAATCTATTGGCCTTCTGTCAGCAATTACTCTGGGGACCCATAGCAGAATTTATAGGGGCTCAATGCGAAAGTCTACTGCTGTGCTGCAGATTAAAAGTGTACCTATGGTAACTGGTTACCTTGGGAAGACCTCAGTGAATGATGAGAGGCTAGCAACTGTTGCACAGGGAAAGATGAAAACGAGCACCTCCGGAACAGAGTCTGAAATTCAAGATGGAATTCAAGCCTGCCTAGCAGAAGGCGGCAGAGCCAGGATTAAGGCCAAGGACAGGTGACTCCAATGGAGAACCTTGCTCAGACAGGCATCAGTCCCTCCCGTTATCAGCTGCCCAGCCATTGGTCGCAGCTCCCATTTGCCTTGGCTTGGACCCAAGTACTGTGCAGTCTCCTGATGGACTTCAGGCTCCCCCTCCGTGTCTCATGCCTGGATCTCTTCCTCAGCCTGCTCAGGCATCTGGTTTCCTGTTTATGATGTCTTTCAGACTTGTGGCTTGGATCAACACACTGAATTCTGATAGCGATCTAGGAGATTTTCCCTTTGCCATTTTCCACACTGGCTGTTCTCTGTGCTTGCATGAAAAGAAATGTGTCTTGTTTTAATTCCCCAATTCTTGGGAATCAGAGGCTGTCGCCTTCTTTTCTGGTCCACAGGGCTCTGAGTGTGACAGACTCTCTAAACTCAGTCACAGCATCAGCTGCTGCTTACCTGAAATGTGGGCCCTGCTGCACATTCCGGAGACAGCCGAGTATGTCCACTGCTAACACAAAATAGATCCGAGGGCGAGACTGCAGAAACTGATAATGGGGTCAAAATGTCTCGAAGGGGCCTAACCAGTGAACTGCACAGCCGTGCAGGTTTCGGGTATTTCTAGTACACATTCAGGACATTGCAGTCACTTTTGGTGAGCTCAGGGGTGTGTATGTGGAGCTAAATAAATCTGATTACTAAACCAATCCCAAGCCCACTTCCATCCTTAGGGCTGTGGTCACCTTCTAGCAAAGCTCTCCAGTGGCAAAGCAGCTGGGACTGGCCCTAAGTGGCCGACGACCCATGATGGAAAAAACAAGAGCTAAGAAAAAGACGGCCGTTTCCTTTCTCCCAAAGAGGGTCTTTGCCATTTGGATGGCTGGGAATTTCTTTTCCTGTTTTGACCAGGGAGGTTTCCCTAGTCTTTGGCGAGAGGACAGGTTCCTAGGACTGGCTGCTTAAGCGCATTGAACAGACTGGTGGGGCCGATGGGGCAAACCGGGCTCCTCCCCACAAGCCAGCCCTTCCCCTCGCCCACTTCACTGCAATCAAGGAGAGCAGATCAGAGCCTGCTCTTCGGGCTCCTCTCCTCTCCTTGGTCGGATTTCCTAGCCTGGAGGAGGTTAGATTTCAAAAGGCGAACGTGAACGGAGGCTGGGGATTTCCAAAGAGCTCCTCTTTGGGGTAGGAGGGCTGCCCGTGGCAGACTAATTGTGCAGGACAAAAAAAGGCTGAAAACAATTTGGTCACCAGGGAAGACTCTCCCAGCTCAGCCACCACCACCCCCGGCCCGGCCTGGCCCAGCCCCACTGTCTCTGCTGTTGCCCACCGAGGATGCTGCCTGCGGCTGGGACATCCGCTCTGCCCGGAGGGCCAGTGACCATCACGGGACACTGGTTGGTTTCTCAATAAGCGTTTATTGAGTTATCTGCAAACTGCTCCCCTGCTCTCCGGTCAACCAATCCTGCACTGGCCACAGGGCTGCTCAGGGCTCCCTGCTGTAGTTATGCTTTAGAAAACTAAACTTTATAATATTCATATTTCATCTTTTGTTCTTATTTTTAGACTTGAAAAAACAACATGAAAGGAAGCAGGAGAAAACATCAATATATATGTCTGGTGGGATTAATGCTGGCCTATCTGGATGCTTCCACCCGAGACGGCAGGACGAAGGATGAAGAGATGGACAGGAGAATCAGAAGAATCAGCAGAACAAGAAACTCCACCGGACCTGTGGTCGTATTCCTTGTTCCATGAGGCACAGCTCTGTACGCACTCCAGCCAGCCAGTCCAACCCCTTCAAGGCTTCTGCCTAAGGGAGGCTACCAGCTTTGTAAGCATTTCACTCACTTTCCACTCTCCTAAGATGAAGTTCAGACGCTTCTGAGAATCCTCTGAGTTTAACGGAAATCAAACCTGTTTTAGAACATTTTCAAGCAGCAAAAATGATTTGGGTGGTGACTTGGGGATGGGGAATGGCTGCCTTCATCCTGCAGAGCAAAAGCCGGGCAGTGTGAGGCAAGCCCTCCAGCTCCTCTGAATTGTCTAGCTAATTCCTTGGATCCCTTTTAAGCACTGGTGGTAAACTGGTGGGACTTCAGCCCATGTTTGGGATCCTTGGAAAGAAATGAGCCTGGATTCCCAGGCCAGATGTCTCTACTAAGGGCCTCCACACTCATCATGGCAATGCTTACACAATGAAGACGTGTCTCACAGAGGCCTCTGCAAGAGCTGTGGTGCCTCCTTGGGAGCAGCTCTCCAGAAGGCAACGGCTGAGGGAGAGTTCTGGACGGCCTAGAGGTGGAGGGGAGTTTGCACGGCCATCTCCACCCCGTCTCCCAGCAAGTCTTATTCCAGGTTCCTCCTATACGGTCATTTTCACAAGGAAGAAGAGGAGAGCAGAGACGGTTCCTGTGAAGGAAAGTTGGCTGCCTGATCCCCTGGTGTCCACAAAAGTCTTCTGCTCTGGCATGAGAGCTGTGGTCAGTGATTTCTGCAAGATAAAAAACTAGCTTCAGCCCCAGGACCAGCTTTCTTTCAGCAATGGAGATTATGCCCTTCAGAGGTTGGACTGGCATTCATGCCTTTGTGCAATCCTGGCATGGGAGGGAGGGGGAGTATCCCTGCTTCAAAACTAACCTGAACCATGAATTCACAGAGCATCCTCTGCTCTGCCATTCTCCCACCTTTTAGGAAAGACCATTTGTTTGTTTATTATTGCCATTATTATTTGTATAAATAATTCAAGATTTGCAAATATTGTAGAAGGAATGGCAGAACCTGGGGACAGAGTAAAAGGGGGGGGGGATCAGCCTAGAATCCCTACATAGCCACAAGCAAAGTAGGTTCAACCCCCTTTGAATGCCCTTGACCTTATCTGACTCTAACCATGTGCTGACTGTTAATTGAGACGATTCCTATGCACAGTTAAATTGAACTTTCAGAAATGGACCTGGTCTTTTGCATCTTTTGCTAATGCCCCTTCCTGCTCTTATTTTCCCCACAACAACAACTCTATGAGATGGGTTGGGCTTGTAGGTGCAAGATACCTAGAGACATGCAGATGCTTTCATGTATCTGGAGCCAGGTTTAATTTCTGGCAGGGTCACCTGCTAAAAGAGCCCCAGGAAACAAAGGAGCAGAAGCAGTTTCTACTAGTCAGAATCTACCAATCAGAATCTACTAGATGAAAGTGTCTAACGCTGCCACCGTGCAACCAGCAGAAGAACATAACTTGGCCTTTTACAAAGATGGAGGAGATATTGTGTGGAGGTCATGCTCAGGATGTGATTTGCTGAAGCCATTATACTTTAGAGTTCTATTAAGTAATGACCTGGATATGGCCAAGAGCTGAGGGCATCTGGCATGCTCTTACAGTGGACGATCAGGCAAGGTCCATTCTCGGTTGTGCCTCTCTTTTTCATTGCATTTGGGAGTCCTCACCTAAACAATGCTAGTCAAAGATGTTATAGGGATCTGGCATCGGTTTTCATAGACATCTGCCACTTACCTCTGAGAAGCAAAGACTCTGATCTTTGGACTGGTTAATCTTTGCTCCACTTTCCTGTGGAGACAGAAGAAGACCTACATTTAGGAGGAGCCCAAGTGAGAGAGTTCCTTCTCTCCGGAAATAGTCCTCAATTATAGTTGGTGGAAAAAGAAGATCACAAAGCTTATTCTGACATCCTAATGTGCCAAAGGGTACTAACACAGGTAGTCTTCAACTTACATCCAGAAATGGGAGCAGAATTTCTGTCATAAATCTTTGTGCTTGCAAGCCAGTTGCCATGCCTCAGAATTGCAATCATGTGATCACAGGGCTGGTGCAACAGTTGTAAGTGCAAGCACAGATCATAACTTTTCCGAGGCTATCATAACTTTGAATAGTTTTTAAATGAAAATTTATAAGTTGAGGACTATCTGTATTGTTGCTACTTATAACAGCAACAATCCCCAGATCTCAGACACTCCACAATTGCACAGCCAGTTCTACAAATATTCTCCTTCATTTGTATTGTATATGTTTTAATGTGTACGGGGATACTTTGTTTTGTTTGTTGTACATCACCCACAGTCACATTGTATGAGTTGGGTGGCCTTATGAATCTGATTAATAAATAAATCAATAAACTTCCTATCAATTTATTTCTTTACTTATTTAGAGAACCTCTCTGGGTACCCATCTCATACAATGATTCTGGATGGTGCACAAGAAGCAATAAAAACAGGATAAAACTAAATCACTTTTCTCCCCAGGCACCAGATTCAGACCCAGCCTAATCCCCCTCCTAAACCAACATTTAAACAGCAGTACAGTCAGTGAAGGAGACCCCACTAAGTCCATTGCCTATCTCCTGCTCCTATCACGTCACGTGTAGACTTGCGTTGTTCTCCTTCCAGCTCACAAAAAAGGAACAGTCTCCCATCCTTCATCTGTTTTTGAATAAGATCTTCACATAAATTCATCACAAACACCTGGAATAAGATTTATGTCTAGGCCATGGAAGTTGGCATTACAAACCCACATTGTTCTGAGTAAAATTTCCTGCGCCTTCCATGAATTATTGCATAGACCTCAGGGCGAACTTGTAACGTCTTACCTCGGCGGAGGCGCATGTGGTGCTCACGCCCGTGTTATTGCCAAGGCTGCTGTCATTTACGTTGTAGGGCAAAGACGGAGCCCTTCCTGCTGAGGGAGGCAGGGTGGGGAGTGGTGGTGGGAGGGCCTTGGGGAAGAAGGTCAGGCCACTGCCATTGCCAAAGGCCTGAATCGCATTTCCTGAGGAAAAGGAGGAGGAGGAGGAGGAAGGAAGGAAGGAAAAGAAAGAGTTATGAAAGAACTCTTCTTAGAGGGGCCTCCCCCACCCTTTGGCAAACTGGACCGGGCCTTGTTTTCTCTGCCGCTAGCGCCACTTGCTGCCAATGTGCTCAGCCCACCCCTGGCCCAGGCCCAGGATCCCCTGAAGGCCATTCCCCCCTGCAGTGGGCACCGGGGAACAGAGTTGTGTGTCTTCCTCAGGCATCAAGAGCAGTTTTGCCCGTTCAATGAATGTGCCAAGCCCCCCCCCCAAAGAACAGAAGCCCAGGGACAGCTGGGAATAGGCAGGGAACCGACAACCCCAGGAACCGGTTCCATCCTTAGGACCTAATGTCCCAGGCTCCTCTGGCTTGTCAGCCTATTTTTAAACAAGCAGAAGCAGCTCTCCTGCCTTCTCTTGCAAAGCACCAGCAACACTGGCCATCTGTGGGGTGGGGTGGGGGAATCAGGCTACCCCCACTCCAGCCAGGTCACGCTGAGCTTCCCAGGGCGTTTAATGCAGGCAAGCATCTGCCTGTTTTGAAAGGCCAGGAATTTCATTTCATTTTCATTTTATTATATTTATACCCCACCCTTCTCCCGTAGGACTCAGGGCGGCTTACAGCCAGTTAAAAACAGTTTAATACAATACAATACAAAGTTTTAAAAAATCATTAAAAATAAATATTTAAATCGGCCGCTTCTACTAAAATTTGGCTTAAACCAATTTAAAATACCCCTAGGCCAGTCCTGCCCGCTGAAACAACCAGGTCTTAAGGGCGCGGTGGAAGGAGGGGAGATCCGGAATCACCCGGATCTCTGGGGGCAGCTCGTTCCAGAGGGTGGGTGCTCCGACAGAGAAGGCCCTTGCCCTGGGGGTCGCCAGCCGACACTGTCTGGCTGACNCCCCCCCTCTCCCCTCCTCTCATGACAAGACAACCCCAGCTCTGCCACTCTCTTCTCTGCTTCTTGCAACAGTGGCAGAGCAGGCAGGAGGGCTCCTTCCTCCCCTAGATTTCATTGTTGCACAGAGAGGAGATGTGTTAATCAGCTGTGCAAACTCAGCCCATTAACTCCAAGAGGGAGAATTTTAGCCCTCCCCGACCTGGCTTTGCGTAGGGCAAACTCTGTTTATCTTCATGTCTGATTCTCAGAGACTGCCTGGACAAGTCTAGTGGACGAGCAGAGATCCAGCCTGGAGGAATTTCCTGAGATGAAGAACTACGAGTGGGACAGCCTCCCAGAGTTGTGGGTGCTCCATCACTGGAGGTCTTCCAGAAAAGATAGGACAGCCACTTGTCCAGAATGGTATAGGGTCCCCTGCTTGAGCAGGGGGCGGGTCTAGAAGACCTCCAAGGTCCCTTCCAACTCTGTAATTGTATGAATATATGAGTGCAGGTCCCTGCAGTTTCCAGAAGTGCATTGCCATTGCCTCCTTTCCAGGACTGGGAGAAAATGACTGGCCCAGGGCCACCCAGCTGGCTTTCTGCCTAAAGTGGGATTAGAACTCACCAACTCCCACCCTCTAGCCTGCTGCCTTCACCAGAACTGACTCTCTGAATTCTAGATTAGCAGAGAGATTTTTTTATAGTAAAACATAAAAAATCTTAAAGCTCTGATTAAGATCCAAGCCTGGAATGGGCAGCAGGTCAAGATGAGACCGCCTCTCCTCACAAACGCCTTGGGAGAGGGCTTAAAACTGGGATTAAGGCAGAAGAACAGCTAAACCCCTCCTCTCTCTCTGGAAACTTGGCTGACCCACAGAAAGGCCAGGAATGGCTCTCCAGCAGGGCACAAAGGATGGACACCCACACACCCCTCCCACCAGGAAAGGGCCTGGAGGAAGCCCTGCTTCGGATGGGCCCCAGAATCCATGGGAGGCTTACGGAGACAAGCGTTTTCGGTGAAGTCCTTCAGGAATTTCTCACATTCCTCCTCCATGTTGCCACTCCCTCGGCAGGAGCACCACAGGGAGACCATCGGGCTGCTGAAGCTTGCATCCACATAGTTGGGGGTCAGGTCCAAACCTGTTGCAAAGGAGGAATGAGGGTCTCCAGGGCATCCAGTCTCCCAAGCCTCCGAAGGGAGCTTTCGATTTGAGCTATGGAGTAAGGGTCTTCCGGGACGATCCCCTGCACAGGGACGCTATCTGCACCCAGCTCAGCCCCCCCCCCGAGTCTTCCGGACCCTCCTTTTGCCACACCACCCTCTCTTCCTTGCCACTCAGCCACTCAGGCGAACCACAAGCTCAGTATCTCTACTGAAAATCCCCAAAGAACATGTGGTTGCTAAATTCACTTTTAGATAAAATGTGGATAAATTAAGGAAAGGTAAGCAATACATCAATTTTATAATTCCTATTCTCCTCCTGCTCCTTTTCACTTTAAATAATGTGGCTACACGTTTATCTTACTAACATCTCTATTTTTAGAGATGTAGAACAAGAATTTTATTTTAGAAGCAGACGGCATTATAGCATACATTATATATGATTCCAATGTTCACATAATTTATTTTAATTCATAGCTTTTAATTCATACTTCAGTATTACTGTTTTCTTAGTTTTCTGTTTATATCTTTTTGTGCTGGTGAAAGACTGCAATAAACACTTGTCAAAGAGAAGGAGGAGAAGGGAGGGAAAATAAAAGGGACCCTGACAGGATATTTAAGCTGGACATAACCACCAAGGGGGTGAATCAGGAGGCACCTGGAGAGAGAGGCTGAGCCCCATCGGGCCTTCTGCAGACAAGGGAAGCCAAATGCACCCGAGAGGCCTCGGATGACTCGGCCAGTAAAAGAGGCCAGAAAAGTGGGGGGCTCCGAGAGATGCTGGCCAGCAATGGGGAGAAGGAAGAACCCCTTGCTTTGTTTCAGACTCCTCCCCGTAACAGAGAGGACCCCGAACCCACAATCGAGGGAAGGCAACGCAAGAGAAGCAGAGAGAGGAAGGCTGTTGTGGCTTTTGCGAATGAGGTTCCAGACAAGACCAACTGCAACCCCCCCACAAACCTATAAAATATAGAATGGCAACCAATATTATAATTAAACTACCCAAAGAGAGCTCCAGTCAAGTGGCCCCTTCCTGCCAGGTCTTAGCCGCCTTCCAAAAGGCAGAAAAATTGGGAACTGTTGTCTGATGGGAGGATCATTCCAGAGCACACACTTTCTAGGGCAAAGTTTAAAAGAGGGGCCCGGGAGCACACTCTCCCCATGGGAGCGTATGGGGCAGGCAGACGTTCTTGGGCCAAGGCGCTCCCGCAAGCAGTCCAGTTCCCCCCCATGCAGGGTTGACCTTCAGTGATCAGCAGTGCCTTGAACTGCACCCAGGACCCTGTTGGGAGCCAGTGCAGTTTGCAAAGTCACCTGGGCGCAGCGAGCGGAGCCTAACTGGGCTGCTGCTGCTGCGGTCTGCCGACTGAAGCGTCTTCTAGGTGGTATTCAAGGGCAGCCCTACGCAGAATGTGTGGCAATAGCCCAATCAGGAGTTGACCAAGGCGTGAGTTACCAAGAGCAAAAATTCTGGGTCCAGGAATGGGCACCTCTGGGGCACGAGGGGCAGCTGGGCAAAGACCCTGGCCAGAACTACTGTCTGCCACCTCATTCAGAGCCAAAGATGGACACTCCCCCAACTCCTGGATAAAGGGAGCCAAGACCCATGCCTCTCAGTCTTGGCAAGGATGAACTGCAAGCTGACCTTCCCTATCCAGACATTCATAGGCTCCAGACACCAGGGTGGCCCTCCCAGCGTTGTATCCCAGTCTGAAGATTGGTGATGGGATGAAAATTGTCCAGATTGGCTGGACCCAAGAATGAGTACAGTAGTAACCTCCTTATTTGACCCTCTCCTGGTCTGTAAGACTTACCTATCAGGCCAGCGTAGGCATCCAGGCACGCCTGGTAGTTGCCCCTGGAGCAGCTGGTGAAGGTTTGGCAGTTGGCATGGAAATCTGCCAGTCTTGACCTGCCAGTTAGAAGAGTCAGTTAGAATTACCGAAAAGGGAGCACCGACAGCATCTGCTCCTGGCCTCACGTTCTGAGCAAAAGGAGGAAGTTGGAAAATTCCCACCGCTTTGTTACACCTTTGAAATCCTATTTCCTTCTTTCCACTTCTCGGCTGGAAAGTTGGCCGCCAAGGTTCAAGACCTGAGCTCCATGCGACAGGGTGAGCTCCCGTCCTCATGCCAGCTCCTGCCAACCTAGCAATCTAAAAGCATGCAAATGGGAGTAGATAAATAGGTACCACTTTGGTAGGAAGGTAACAGCACTCCATGATGTCATGCTGACCACTTCCTAACAATCACGACAATTACCACCATTAGCCCCCTGCACAGACCAGCTCACCAAGAGAACCCACAAATGCACAATACATGAAAACAGACAACCGAGGTTGCCTGTGTTCTGCAAGGCAACGTTTGTACCTCCCTCAGAGGCATCTAAATGAATTGATCTTCCACCAAAATTCTGGGGTGGGAATGAAATGTGCTTCTGGAATGCCATGAAGGCCACCTCTGGCTGGCATTGGGAGACCCAGGAGGCATTTTCTGGGTTAAAAGAGAGCCCAGTTTGCATGAGGTAGCAGCACAGGAACTGTAACAACATGTATGCAAAGAGGTATGAGCCTGAATTTTTATAAAAAACATGTGTCAAGTCCTGACTTTGGAGAACTCTAGATGTTATGTTGAATTGTTTGTTTGCCCTCGTGCCTGAGTTCCAAAACAGAGTATTTTGCCAAGTTTCCTACAGGAAGATGGATTAAATTATAAATGATTATTTGCTTAAAACCACAGACCATCACAAACTAAAGGATATATGGAATAAATCAACAAGATTCCAGATGGGATGAGGAATCCTCTGTTACCAATTATATAATCCGATGCAGGACACCTATCCATTTAATTTGACAGGCAGGTAGTTAAATACAAGCAGTGATGTGGGGGAGTTCCGAATCGCAAGGACCTCCAAAATGACCAGCCTGATGGCCCTGCCCTCCAAGGCCTTTTCATCCTGTCCAAGCCATGTGTTGCTTTTTCACTGGGCCCCACAAATGCAAACCTTTGGCTGCCAGGCGCATCACTCTCTGCGACTCTCTCAGAGCCGTGGAGGGGGCAGAGGGGGCAGAGGAAAAGGGGAGCCTTAAAGGCAGCTGGCAAGCACTCCAGAACACGGGACAGAGACCAGCAAGGACAAAGGGGAGCGGAAAAGAGGAGCCGAGGTTGGCTGCATTCATTTCGTGAACTAATCTGAAAAAGACATGAATAAAAACCGATCAAGGGAACTCCCTCGTGAAGGATACCAAAAGTAAATAGGCACGTTTTCCTCTTTGATGAAAGACTCTTGGCCTTTGAGGATTTAAACCACCTACTTTGCCTCAGACCTTAGAAGCCGCTCTGTTCATTGTGCAAGGAGCACAAGTTTGCAAAGCTTCATCTGCAGGAAGACACATATGCAAACACAAACACACACACGAAAATCACCCCACATTGGGCTAAGATGGGGATGCAACGTTGCCTGGATTGCAGAATCTAAGCAGAAAATGGAGGGAGACTCCATTAGCTCTTGCAATCAAGGGAGGAAAAGCCATCCTTGCTCAGAAGGGCAACTGTGGAAGTCTGAGAAACTGAGTCATGGGATGTATGGGAGGATTCAAGGCAGATTAAGTATTATTCTATGCGTGCTCTAGGATTGAAAATGGGCAAACTGTTCAAAAAAATAAAGGACCTGGAAGGAAAACTTCACCAGGGCTAGCTGGAGGCCTTAGGCAGGTTTAGCCTGAGATTTCATTGCAACCTTGGACTCTTTCGGCTTGACGGTCCTTTGGGGCAGAGGTCCACAACCTTTTGGGCACCAGGGACCAGTTCCATGGAAAGGTTTTTCCACAGACCGGAGACGGTTTTGTGTGCTCCTGCATCCCACGGATGGGGCTTTGCTTGTTTGTGCAGACCAGTTGTTGGCGTGCCGTGGCCCGGTACTGGTCCACGGACTGGGGGTTGGGGACCTCTGCTTTGGGGGTCTCATCCAAGCTAGAGCAGAGGATCATCTGGATTCTCCAACCAAGAAGATTTGATCATCTCAAGAAGCAGCCAGTTTCACTAGCTGACAGCTGGTAGGAAAGAGTTTCTTTCAATCCTCAGTGACAGTAACTGGGACTGGAATTTCCACTGCTAAGAGATGCAGTCAAAAAGGCTGACTTCATGTGACCAGGCCACTTAGCCACAATTGTTCCAGCAGTCTCTGTTCCTATCATTAAGTGGATCACTGTGGGTTGCTCAGTGAGGATCTCACCTGACCGCAATGTCTGTCTTCCTGCTTACTTCCCCATTGACTTTGTTTGTGGGAAGCTGGCAGGGAAAGTCACAAATCGCAATTGGTGACTGCAAAACGCTGCGATGGTCAGAAATCCAGGCTGTTTTCAGTCACAACTCACGATTGTTTGACTGCGGGGCCCTAGGATGGCCAAAACTTTGAGACCAGTTGTAAGTACCACTTGTTTATTGCTGTCATAAGTTCAAACGATCCCTGAATAAGTGGTCATTAACCAAGAACCTCCTCTGCTGTCTTTGCCAGATCCAACACCTGTGCCTTTCATTTTTCCTGCCCAGGCGGGGTACCTTACATTTCTCCCTCCTACAAGTCTTAGTTCTTTTTTTAATAATCTCGCTTTCATCTAGAGCGGTCAGCTTTGTTTCATTTGCAAACCCGACAAACACCCCCTTAATCCTCTCTCCAAAGCTCAGGCACATGTGCTGACCCTCAGGGCCCAGGGGGGCAGGCTGGGGCCCTCAATCAGCACTCTGGGAGCAGCCTTTCAGCCAGACCATCTGGCTCCTAGCCGGGTCTAGGCCAAAAGCCTGGGACGAAGGGTGCCTCAGCAAAAGGGCCGGCCAAAGGGCTCGGGGTGGAGGGCAAAGGGCCACTGGCCAGGGAGAATGGGTGGGGGAGGACCAGCCGGGCAGGAACGCTAGCAGTAAATGGGCGGAGGCGAGAGGCGGTTTTGCCAAAAGCCCGGTCACTCTGCCTATCGCATTTCCCTGATCTTCTCAGCCACTAACTCTACCAAAGGAAGAGACCAGGTTAGTTGTCTGGCACTCAACCCCGGGTGGAGTCTTGCTCCGAGAAAGGGAAATTAGCACCGCCCAATGGAGCTTGCCTGGAGGGACTTCTGTCAGGAGCTCAGCATAACTACTGGTAGTAAAGGCTTCCTTAGATAGTCGGCCAGTCCCTTGGTAAAGAGCCATCAGGAGTGAGGAAGCCAGTTTCAGCCGGACCTAGTGAGGCTAACTGGTCCCCATAGCCTCATTCTCAGACCCGGTAGCCTTGGAAGCAACACACACACACACACACACACACAAAGAGCACAGCACAGCGGCAGTCCTGAAAGCAACTGGAAGCCACTTGAAGCGGTTGTTTGAAGCAGCTGACATAGAATCAAATAAAGGTTTAATCTTTATTTGACAAAACTGGCTAAGGCATAATCACCTTTGCTTTAAAGATTTCTTTGGGTTTCATATATCTTAACTACTAAAGCATTGGTTTTTATTTTCTTATCTAATTATGTTTTAAATTTATAATACCCAGGTGAGAAATGTATTAATATAGTAATAAAGGAACGAACACTATATTACCATGTGATTTATTTTGCTAGTTGTTAGTATTTTAGTCTATCTATTTGCTTCACTGTTTTAAGTTTTGCTGGTCATTGACCAAATAAATATTATTTTATTCTTTATGAATGTATGATTTAAGACAGTGGTGGCGAACCTATGGCACGGGTGCCAGAGGTGGCACTCAGAGCCCTCTCTGTGGGCACATGCGCCATCGCCCCAGTCCTAGGCCTTCAGCTGGGTTTTATAAAACCTTTTCATTTTAGGCCTCCGCCGCCGTGTGCAAAAAAAAAGGTTCAATCAATCAGTCAATTTCAACTTCTCGCGGGAAAAAAAAGATCTTGCAAAGTTGGAATTGATTGGTTGAACTTTTTAGTCTGCCGTTACCACAGCAGCCACGCCCACCCAATGGGCCACACCCACCCAATTGGCCACACCCAGCCAATGGACCATGCCCACCCGGCACCTGACAATGCATAAGTGGGTTTGGGGTTGCAGTTTGGGCACTCGGTCTCTAAAAGGTTTGCCATCACTGATTTAAGAGGATAAGAAAGCTCAACCCAGCTTGTAGTATTACCGGTTCCTGGTCTCACCAACTTTGAGAATTTCTGTCTTATTGGCACTGCTGTGATTTGTTGCTTTTTTATCTTTGTTGAAATATTGTGCTTTAAAAAAAAGATACACTGCTTGGCATCCTGACAATTATTTTGATATATCTCATTTGGAAGGGATAATATGATAATTACTGCTAAAACTAGTGGTTGATTTAATTAGGTAGCCTCCCTGGACTGTACGGAATTAGCAACCAGCAAATTACCAAAACTGGATTCCATCCGCTGCCCCCAGCCCTGCCCTGTCTCTCTGCAGAGCAAGTTCATTTCTTTATTGATTTAGAGGGTTCCCAACCCAGACAATCAGAAAGCAAGAAATAAATCTGTCCTGGAAAACCAACCAGGGGTCTGCTGTGGCCCCTTCAAAGCCAGGAGATAACCCTCAGCCAGAGCATCCTCTACCAGGGTGGGATGAGAGGTCAATTTCTCAAGTTCGGGGAGGGGTGTAAGGAGAGGGTCCCTCACAGCAAATGCCTCAACCTGTTAAAGCCCCCTAAGGAGCCAGAGGGGTGCCCCGCCTGCATCCCCCCCCCGAGAACCTAGCAGGCCTTACCGGCAGAATGGCTCCGCTCGACACCGGCTCCGCAGAGCCAGGCAGTTGGGCGTCTCTCTCTCCTGGTAGGAGCAGTCGGGGACGATGGTCTGCCGGCGGCGTTCTGCACAGGCCTGGTCCTTGCAGGAGCAGAAAAGCAGCCGGTAGCTGTATGTGCTGGGCACCTGGTCAAAAAAATGGCGCAGGGCTTTGTGGCACTTATGCCGGCTGCAGTGCTCGGTGGCCGAGACCTGTTTGTTGCAGGTGGAGATGTAGGCGGAGCGGAGCTTCTGGCAGTTGTCGTTCAGGTTGCAGGCCTTGGCTGCGTCCAGGCAGGGGTTGCTCCTGGAGGCGACCGCGGAGTCGGTCCCTGCTGGGGAAGGAGGAGAGTCAGGGGAGGGGCAAGCTGGGACGAGTGCCCGGACAGACAGATGAATCTTCTCTAGCCAGTAGAGGTCTTGGGGGCGAGGAGGGCTTTGTGTCCCCCTCATGAAGGTGATCCTGCCTGGATCAGGCCACCCAAACCCCGGACTTCATTACTTCCTATCAGACACATTTCACAACCATGACAATGAATTATGGAAAAAAAATAAAAAGGTCTTGATATGTGAAAAAAACTGAAGTTTTATTGGTCTGGCTGAGCAGTCGAAGCTGGCAGCCGGGGCTTGAGACCCAAATGCAGCGGGACAGGGGGAGCTCCCGTTCCTCCTCAAGGGAGGGGACCCCCAAGAGCCCCTGCCTCCCTGCTCTGATGGGTCAGGGAGACTGGGAGGACACAGGTAGTCCTCAACTTACGGCCACTTGTTCGATGACCGAAGTTACAACAGCCCTGAAAAAGGAGAAATTCTGAGAATAATGATAGAATTTGCAACATTTATACAGAACCTAACAGACAGCAGACAGACAAGCAGGTAATTAGATCTCACATTGTTATTAAAATATGACGCAGTAATAGAATTTACTACAAGTTGCAGTTGTAGTATAACATTGATATTAAATGTTTAACAGATGGGATATAATTCTGTCAATAATTACCAAATCATATAGCAATAAATTTTGGAAATGCCATAACAAAGAAGGAGCACTGTATTATGCATGGTGGTTATTAAAAAAACCCTCAAATGATTTGGAAAGAAATACATCAAAATATTCAAAAAGGCCTAAAATAAAATTTGAACAGTAAGAAATTCTTATTAGTTATAATTATTAATTGTGTAATTATATTACTTATTAGTTATTATTCCAGAAAACATAAATGAAAAATATCACAATTTATTAAGATATATGCCGTGAGCTGTCAGAACTGCTCAACTCATTATTTGCATCTGCCTTCACACAAAAGGAAAAATAATCCAACCTATCAAAAACAGTATCGTAGGTAGGAGACAGAATGGGAATCCACGTCAAAATAAGCAACAATATGATAAGAAAACGCCTATCCACTTTAGACCACATGGGTTATATACCATAACCCAGAATTCTGAAGGAGTTGTAGACTTGAAATCTTTCAAAGCTCCTGAAGCATCAGAGAAATACCAGAGAACTGGAAAAGAGCTGATGTGGGTTCCTATCTTCAAAAAATGGGGGTGGGTGGGAGAGAAATGGATCTAGGAAACTACAGATCTTTAAGCCTGACATCAAAACCTGTGAAAATCCTGGAAAAATGGAAAGATGATCAAACATCTGCAAGTGCCTAGAAATGAACAAAGGTATTACTAGAAGCCAACATGGGTTTGTTAAAAACAGATCCTGCCAGACAAACTTTATTGCCTTTTCTGAAAAAGTGGCTAAATGCTGTGGACATAGTCAGCTTAATCTTCAGTGAGGCATTTGACAAAGTAGACCACAACCTACTTCTAGGTAAGATAGAAAAATGTGAGACAGAACGCATCACCAATAGATGGATTCACAACTGCTGGACCTAGTAATAAAAGTACATTTAAAAAAGAAAGATCTTGATGGTGTATTGAATAAGAGTTAATAAATGTAGCTGGAAAAGACATTTGATGTGGTGGAATGGATTCCCAGGAGGGAGGGGCTGCTTACCAGAGGGCAAAAAGACAGCAGAGCTTGGAATGTCTGGCAGGCAGGAAGAGTGTTAAAATGGGGCTCCTCCCTAGCATTTCTGAGAGAATATCCGTAGTTATGCAAATAATTGCTTTAATCCAGCTAGATTCTGTCTATAGGTGAAGAACAACAAAGAAAATTATTCGTAAGTATCTCCATGTTCTTGGGACCTGACATTTCACAATGATTTTAAATTGGTTTAGTTTCCAAATATTGACTATAATTAACTCCAATCTGTTCAATACTGATTTAGTCCAGTCTCAAATGGTAAAGTGACTTCCGGGCACCTCCAGGATTCAGAAAACCTGCAAAGGGCCACGAGAAGCATCCAAAGACTAGAGCCAAAGTGGTCCAGCCACAGAAAGAGCACCCCAACCCCAACTCAAGAAGCAGAGGCTGTGCTAGACTACAGGAAATAGAATATAAGAATAGAATATGACGAATGAAGGCAAATAGACACACCAATAGCATATGATCTTCAGTTAGATGAAGGTCATTTCCCAGTGAATGCTTCTTTATTTTTAAGTATTTCCCCCTCATTAAACTGCAGGCTTAGCCTGAGACCTGACTGTCTTCAAAACTTTGATGGAGTGGTTGCAGAAGAGCTTGTAAGACCTGAAGTTAGGATTTCAAAAAACAAAAACAGGTTCAAAATTATTTGGATATTAAGAAGAGGACTGAATAAAATGACAAACAAAATGAAGTATAATAATATAATATAATAATAACGTTGGAAGGGACCTTGGAGGTCAGTGAGTCCAACCCCCTGCTCAGGCAGGAAACCCTACACCATTTCGGACAAATAGAACAAATTAGTGACACAATGGATTTGGTCATAATATTTGTGAACTAGGTTATAGATCAAAAGCAATTGTGGGTCAGCAGTGAGATTGTGTTACTAAAAATACTATCACCAACAGAAGTATAGTTTCCAAATCATAGGAATTACAAAATCATTCCACTTTTTTCTGCATTGGGAGTTTCTGAGATGTAAATAACTGGCTTTCCACATCTCTGGATCCAACCTGGCTAATCTATTACATCCCAATGCAGCTGGAAAAGTGACGCTCCCCATTAGCATTTAGCATTGTTTCCTCCCACATTCTCAATCCTCCCTTCCTGAAAACATGTTCTTGTTAAGCCCAGAATCCAACAGCTAAATGCTTCTCAGTGTGGCCCCGGTCCTATTTTCCACCAGCTAAATAGCTTAAGGATGGTGATTTAATTCAAAATGGAAAAAAGAAATCTATTGTCAACTGGAACCTAAGCTAGCATTCCTTGGAACAGACTTCTGCAGATCTGTCTTCTAACGCCAAGCCAGATGTCCTGTCCATAGAATTGCCACCCAGAGACTCCCACAGATGCTCCCAGGGCCACCAGCCCCACAGAGGCGGTTGTCCACCGGCAGCAGTTCCAGCCTGAAGCACCATCAAGCGTTTCAAAATTAGAGAATAATTGTACTAAAATTATGCCAAGGACTACATAAATAAATAAAAAAGTGTCATGCCAATGACAACCCAAAGATGGAAAAGTGCCTATTAAACTTCCAACTGCCAGCTTCTAAAGCCTTTCCAAAATACAGGTTTATTTATTTATTTTATTTATTTTTCATAATTTATATGCCGCCCTTCTCCCCACGGGACTCAGGGCGGCTCACAGCATATTAAAATAACACAATACAAACAACACACACAACATTTCCCCTATAAAAGCCAATTAAAACCAAATATTTGTAGCTGTGACATTATTAAAATCATTAAAAATTATCCCTATTTAAAATTC